GAGAGAGAGAGAGAGAGAGAGAGAGAGAGAGAGAGAGAGAGAGAGAGACCAGAGTGAGAGAGGGAACTGAGTGGGAGTTTACGTTTGTCGTGTGAACAGCGACAACGGCCATAACAGCTTGTACCATATACTTGAAACTTGTATAATTCTAATGTTTCAGGGTACAATCATCTCGGTTTGGGCTAATTACCATCTCATTTGTCTTGTGCGAGTGTTCAGTGTGACTTCGATGTGATGCATGTTGCGATTCGAAGTTGAAACCGGGCTGGCTTCTTCCTCCCCAGCGCTGGACACACCCAGCCCTCGCTCCAGGCTGGCTCCATCCTCTCCAGCGCTTGGTGTGCCCAGCGCTTCTTCCTCCCAAGCGCTGGACATACCAAGTGCTCGCGCCAGGCGGGCTTCTCCCTCCCCAGCGCTGGACACACCAAGTGCTCGCTCCAGCTGCGTGACACCAATTTTGCACACCGCAAAATGAGGAAGAGCGCATTGCTCTTTCCGAAGATATACTGGGCAGCGGCCTCCTTGGGCCGTGACTTTCCAGGCCCGCTTGGGCTCCCAAGCTATCGGTACCTGGACCAGTTCCCCTAGACCTAAGAGTACTGGGCTCTAAAATCCCCTCGGCCTGTAAAGGTACTAGCTTTTTGTCTTCCTCTGCCGGCCTACCCGCTACTCCAGTGTCGTCCATCTATGCGAGTCTAGCGTACCGCTACACCCGGCTGCAACCCACAACGGCATGGCCACAGTTAAGTACCAGGCCCGAGGGCCTTCCCAGCATACAAGTACCCTGGTGGGTCACGCACACACCCGAGCAATCATGCACTCAGACAAACACACGAAAACTCAGCAAACACGCACACGCACAGACTCAGAAATCTAAGCAGCAAGTGGGAATCTCAGCAACTCACACAATCCAGTGGCAAAACTCAGGAAACAGCAGAGTCAGTCTGTGATTTTGCAGGTCATTGCATTCTTCTTCTTCTCCTCCTCCACCAGCTCCTCCTCTGCCTCCTCCTCCTCCTCCTCCTCCGCCTAGTCTTCCTGCTGCTGATTCTTTTGTCCTGCCATTCGGCATAGTCTGGCTGTGCTTTTCTGCCTCTTCCTTCATTGACCGCACAAAGAAAATGAAAGCAGAGACAATGTGCCATTCATGTGAACATAAAGATCTGAGCTCATCAACCCTGCCACCATCATGTCTTGAGAAGTTGCGATGCTTGGCCAAAGAGGTGATACCATTGTCACCAACAGTTTCCCTTGTACTGCATGTGTTTTGGCTCACTTGCAGATGTCTCTACGTGCAATGTGGCATGCTGTAGGTTTTCCATCAGCAAGATGCAGTCCTCTCCGCACATCGTTTCTTCCTCTGCCTTTTCTTCGTCGCTCCACTTTGCAGTTTCAGGCCTGACTCAGTGGGTTGCATGGATTTCAGTCAAAAATTCAATGAACGTAATTGAGTTGCACTGTCTTGAAGTTGGCTCATCTCCTTGGTGGAATGCAATGATAATGATGTTGTGTATGTCCAAGTACCAGACAGGTGTCACTGACATCTTGGGTTCTTGAAGCGCCTCACTGCGAAGATTATGAGAGATGGCTGATCAAGGAAGTAGTCTTCAGAAGAAGAGAAAGAACGACGGCAGAGAGGGAGTCCCATATCATACGGAGCAGGAGGAGAAGAACGCCGAGCATGAGCAAGAGGTTTTGTCTGTATTGCGGACCATCCTTGGTCGGGAACAATTACTTGACCTCACATTCGTATGCGAGGATGGGAAAGCGGTGCGTGCCAATCGAGCGCTGTTGGCAAGCTGGAGTGAGTACTTTTTAAAGTTACTGCATGGGGATATGAAAGAGCGATCAATGGACAGGATTCCTCTTCCTAATGCAAAGGCAGGGGGGTTGCAGATTGTGGTCAGTTACATGCATGGTCGTCCGTTTAGGTGGGGCACCGATAGTTGTTGGGATGATATGGTCGAAGCGTACTGTTTGACGGCTCAATATCAGATCGATAGTCTGTGCGAAAGGATCTTACTCTTGGTGCGCAGTCTTGTTCATGCTCGGGAGCTTGGTGATCTGCTAAATGCAGCGATCCCGCGGCAAGCAGAGGAGGTACTACGTGCTGCAGTGAAAGTAATGAACGACATTTTGGCCCTCGACTCAACATCGTTTCTGGGTTGGGCCAAGGAGAGCATCACATATTGCCTGGAGAATATGATATTCCCTCCAAATGTAACAGAGACGATGGTTGTAGAGGCCGTTCTCTCTGCCGCATCGTACGACTGCACTGCCGGTGTGGAGCAAGAGAATGCTTGCATGCAATCTGAGATGGCCGCTTCCGCTGCCAAGGAGTTCGACCCTGCTGTGTCGAAGCTACGGCGCTGTTCACAATCTGCCAAACCATTAACTAAATGTGATGCAGAGGGAGGGCATTCATTGTCCAGAAAGAACTTGCAGGAAATATTGGAATATCACATCAACCTTGCGTTTGTCGATCCTTTATTTGTGAACAAGAGGATTGAACCCTTGGGAATCTTACGGCCAGAGGTACTCACTGCAGTTTACAGAGTGCATGCCATCTGCTGCTCAAGAGGGTTTTCGACCAAGTCCATGCTTGCATTACCCTGGCGTTCTCTAAGTACCAAGGTGTCATTTGCACGTTTCAAAGTAGGCCAAGATGGAATTCATAAGTCTTACACCGAGGTCTTACTTCCATCTCCCTGGGATTGTGTTCGAGGAATTTCAAGTGGTATAATCATTTCAGAGGAGCAACCACATCGAGTGCGCTGCACAGGTCGAAGGAGTGAGGAAAGCACTGAGGATCCATTAAGGATGAACTTACCTCTTGTCAGTGGCAAACACATTTGGATGGTCCGCTCTCTCTCGAGCTGTATGGCCTTTGGAGTCGGTGTTGCTTCTTCGAATCCTAGAGTCATTTTTCACTTGCAATGTTTCTCGATGGGGAGAAAATATTGGCTTTGGAAAAAAACGGATGAAAAGCGAATAATGCAGGACATGTCAGAGGTGTTTCCTGATTCATTTAGCTTGGAGAGGTTTAACAGATGTGGTGCTACGCTGTTTGTGATATTGGATATAACGAAGAGATCACTGACGTTTGCCGATAAACTAGAGCGCTACATGAATCGTGAAGGAGAATATCCTGCCGCCTTTGTCGAACTTCCATGTGATACTGCACTGTACCCATCCTTCTGCATGACGAGTCCTGGTTATGTAGAGATAGAGTGGATCCAAAGCTCCCCATGTGCACAGCTCACCCGTCCGCACTGGAGGATGTGCGTTGTGATAGAGGAGTTGATCTCCATCCGACTTCGTGATCATCTTCGATGCATATCTGTGCAGTTCACTACCTGCTTCAAGCAACAAGGCAGACAACTTGAAGTCCACCATGAAGTGCGGAGCAAGGTTATGGGGTTGAATTGTATCTATTGCTATGGTATAGTAGCCAGATTTGCTGTGTCTATGGCTATGGTAGCCAGATTTGCTGTGTCTATTGCTAACCTCACTGTGCGTTTCCGGGTAATGCAGTCGCTGTGCTCGTTATAGTAGTTTTGACTCTTGAGGCCTTATCCTTGAGGGATTGTGGATGTCCAGACAGAATTTTTCGGATGGTTGCTGAGAAGATCATGCCCGCAAATGATGCCATGCACACACAGTCTGTAGCCACACGTCTGTGCACACATGTACACACACGGACACAAAGCAGACACTGACAGGATTAAGTTGGGGGGAGGGTGTTTTGGAGAGCAGTGGCTCTGCTGTCGTACAGAAATCCTATAGGTATTCAATTTGGTGGTTGCAGGGCCATGTTTTTGACTGTCCGTCTGTTTTTTTTTTTTTTTTTAAGCCGTCTTCTCCTCATATGGGGGACACAGCTTCCATATATGTCTTTCATACATATGCCAGGTCCCCAGCCAGAACCTCCACCGGTTATGGAAACGAGCCCATCCTAACTACCTCTGCTCAGTGTGGGAGCAGTACCCTGGCCTCTCTAACACCTGGCGCATGCTGGAAAGAAGTCCAGCTATTCTCCCAAGCCTGCCAGGAGGACCAAGCTGATTATCTCCGCTGATGGAGCCCTAAGTTTGCCGCCGCAGGGGCCGCGGGGAGTCGTAAGGATGACGGCGTGGGGAATCGATCCCACGACCTCCTGAATACCACTTAATATGTGCTCAACCAAATGAGCTAGGCCGCTTGGCCCTTGACAGTCCGTCTTAGTTGGGAAGTGGGGAGCGTTTAATTTTGTGCAAGTGCTCGTCAAGCAGATGAACGCGTGGTCCACTTCCTACTCAGCCACAAGGATGTGGGTATCCTTGCACCCCTTTTTTTAATGATTGTTTGGTCTTCTGAATGGCGGAGTAGGGGCTCGTTTTCGTACTCAGCTCGTGTGCACTGACTGAATGGCACACGCATGTAACTGGTAGTTACCGGCAAAACATACTTCTTTTTTTTTCTTTTTTCTTTTTTTTTTTGAAAAAAAAAAACACATACTTCAAATCCTGCTGATGGACTCGGTGACACATGAAAACACAATACACTTACTAGTAGGTAGGGGGCCTAGGGGCTACCCTTCTTTTCTCTAAAACAAAGTCATAGAGTTTGCTTCGGCGATCAGCGAGTTTTCCACAAGACAACCATGGTTTGGTTTTGGCATTTGAGAATTTTGAGTAGTGCTTAGTGAGATTTGTTTTCTTTGGTGTTGGCCTGAATTTAACCTTGGGCATTGCTTTTTAGTGGATGCTTTTGATTCAGGCCACTGCTTCACATCTCTACCAGTGTATTTTACAGATGAGCCTTCTTTCCGGTGTTGTTGTTGTCAAGGATAACGGAGGCTGGGAGCGATATTGGCTAGGCTTTGATTGATTGAGCTCTCACTGGTGGGATTCAAAGAGTTTTCTTACCGTGGGTGTGATTTGCAATTGGGCTATCTCCTCTCTTCTTTTTTTTTCTGCCTTGCATCTGGGGTCGAACTTGGGTGTGATTCATATTTCAAAATTTTCAACAGTTTCTGCGTGTATTATCTGCGCGAGGCTCTTTGGTGGGCTGCCTCCTCCTTTTTTTTTTTTTTTTTTTTT